GCAACTATGAGTTTAGATATATAGAACAATTATTTATTGCAGTAATAATATTATATTAATTAGTACGTTACGCACATTGAAAACCAACATTAGGTTTATTGTTGTGTAAAACTAGATTTACAATTTCAGTGTCACTGTTTACATTAAAGCGGAAGGATCGTCACCTTCGCACGCGCGACGATAACAACACACGTTAAAAACGCAAAGGCACATGGGTAGATGCTTGTTTGTAACAATGACACACTATGTCCATCTGACGCATGCGCAGGTGATAACTCCCCCGCTTTAACATTGACCAAATAAGAAAATTCATTGCTTATTTCCATTTGATATTAAAGCGCTCCTTTTTCTTTGGAATGCAGATTCGTTGCGTCAGAAGTGTCCAATATGGCGAACCTCAACGTATTGTTTCTCATCGTTTTTCTGTATTTACATAGCAAATCTCGACGAAGACGCAGTTTGCATCATCAGAATGGTATCTTAAATTGTCATTGAGTCCTAAATAATGTGAGTCGTGGTAACGGTAGGATTGGGCACAAACAAAACGTGCATTTGGATTTGGTATATGGTTTGTTTTGAACTGTTGAGACAATTATTGGTAGACGCAAATAGTTTTAGAAAAATCTATTTCGATCACTATTAAAGAGTGTTGTTGTCAACTATCTCTTTAAAATCTGCCAACAGAAGTCTCTACTTTCTTTTCACTTGTGTTGCCGTTCTCTGTACTTCAGTATCTCATAGCCGGGCTGTGATATTTACGTGTATTTTATGTTGAATTTTATCTTCCGTCCATATAACGATCAATGATTTTATTTTCCCGGCAGTCAAGTCTCACATTCAGGCCATCGTTGTCGCGATTGTGAACAAGTTTTGAGACTGTTTTCACAACCTGTTTTGTATATTTAGTCAACAATAGTTTGGGGATTAACATTAGTTCCGTCCGACCCTGGCAACTCTTCCCAGGCGTGACTTAATTAGACCGGTGCACAAGATTTATGTTCGTGTTCACACAAGAAATTTCGGCAAGCCTAAAATTCGGGGCACGCATAAGGCCGGCTATATATTCTGACGTGAAACTATCTATTATAAGCGTCGTACGTAATATAATTGTGTTTGATGTTTTGTTTTCACATTTAATTGCATAGTCAGAAATCGTTGGTATGCACAGACACTTAAGTCAGGGGTCACAGTCCACAGTTTTATCTTCCATTCTGCTTGCAACAAGGGTCGGAACCCCTCGACATATAGTTCAGCGTTCACAGTTTATTTTGATCTGATAGCAACTCAAATAACAAGTTCACGGAAATGTCTTCCCTGCGGGAACTTGTTTCGACGGAATCACTACCTTGTGTCGTGCGAGTTGATGGTGGAGCATTCAGTGGCCAACGACTGAAAACCAATGACGTTCTGTTGTTACATTTCACGGAAGCAGTACAGAGGGTACAGGCTGTGGACAATGGCGGTAAACACTATTCGTTGCCACTGACGGGACAACAACTATATCAGAGGCTGCCTATAGGTGAGGGTTCGAGTCTTTTTTACAAGAAACTCATAACTTAACTCTAGAACAACTTGGATTTTGGCACGTATGGAGCAGCAGCTTTGCCATGTTTTTTTTTTTAAAATCATGCCTGCACAGGGATATAACAGGGGGTATGTGTGGTAGAGGGGGTGGTGGAGGATTTTGTGCACACATAATAGATAACCTCATACTATATTACCCAATATTATGTGGCGGGCGATATTGCATTATCTTATGATAAAACATTTTAAAGAGTTCATTCGCGACATATTTTCACATTTAGATCCGAGTCTCGATGATAAAATATATACCAGCATCAAAGACATCATTAAACTACCGTTACTGCCCGAGCGTTTACGCGTAGTGGAAGGCTATTATTCGGACACCGATGAAATGAGTGTGTACAGCGGTGAAATACTAGACGTCATTGGCATTGAAGAAGGCTGTTCAGACTACGTAACTATTTAATACTATGACGCATTTGTTTACTTTTAAGTTGAGTCGTTGTTGTTGGAAACAGTAATATGTGACATACAGTATAGATTGAATAATGGGCGAAGACGAATCTACGATTCCTCTCTGCAATTCTCGGCTAATTGCAATAAGCGTTTGACGCGCATACTTTGTTCAATACTTTGTTGAAATTGTCACTTTCAAAATAATTGACAAATTCTGTCTGACCGAAAAAAAAATGCCACAGTGAGTGTATAGTTCAAAGATACAATTAATTTTTAAAAATGAACTAAACGTAGGGTAACAATGTTTATATAATTTGGCTAAAGTATGTCAGCCCATTCTAAAATTTAATTAAGCACGCTGACCGCAGTATTTTATGGATTCTATTGCTGTTCTACTTAGTATCTTGTAGCTAAGAACGAGGCTAACTTCCGCCTACGTTTGTCAGAAGCCCACAACACCGGTCACTATAGCACAATGGCGTCATCCAAACATTGCACTCTGACAGAACTTGTCAACGAAAAACTGCCAATGGTAAGAACATATTTTTTTCTTAATATTCTTATGATTTGCTCAAATATTTTATGATTAGCTGGACTTGCTGAAATGTTAAATATTTTGTATTTTTGTGCAAATTATGAGTGAAAATTTTAAATGAGTGTACCATTAAAAATCACAGCTTTTTTTAAACATATGTTATATGTATATATTATAACAGAGGGTTAAAATGGCACCAGAAGCCAACGATATGAGCACTCACAAAAGTATGAGGACAGTGTTGCTGTTGAAATCTGTGGAATCGGTCCAACATGTCATAGCGACGAGGCCAACACAAGATGGCGTCTTATCGATTCCTCTTCATCTGTCCCTGAATGTATCGAAGGTAAGCGACGACAGTGTCGACGTTAAAACGGTGTTACGAGCACTGAAACCCATATACGCATGCGTCAACTCAACCTGGAAAGTAGAAGATGTTGGCATATGGAATCTACCCAGCCAGTTTAGTCAAACCCCACAACCACTGGAAGATGTACTGCGTTGCTGGTTCAATAGTAGCGAAGGTATACTTATTTTATATAAGATGTGAACAATGTGTTTCAATACATTATCATTCGTTCATTTAAAGCTGAGTGAATTCTGTGTCGTGAATTGCAGGATATTCTACTTTTTAATCTAAATATATATATAATATATATTCTTTTTATAAACAAATCATTTTTTAATCAATATCAGTTAAAATGTCAAAATTTAAAAAGATATTCAATTCACCATTTTAGGTCAACGAAGAGCCTCGGAGGTTTGTGGAGTGTCACTGAAGAATCACAAGAAGATAATTGATAGATTGAAGCATGATATTTACGATATAGCACATAACTCACAATCTTGCTCTACATCCACATCACTGTCGTCTCCAACAGTAACAGAAAGCAAAGGTAAACAATATTATTGGCTTCCGTGTGCACAAAGCTCACGGGAGATAATGTCGTACCATGTCTGTCCTCCCATCCGTATGTGTCTGTGTATTTTTTCACTATATATCTCAAGAACCACATGCTCAACTAAAATGAAACACAGCTACTATATCGTGAACATCAGATCTGATTAGATTTTAGTACAACCCCGTGCACGTTAATTAGGAAATTTGCATATTAATTGATTCATTTTAGCTTGTTCACTTTGAATATTTGTATGTTTTCAGAAATGCACTGAAACGCAGTACATGATTGTTGTTTGCGTAGATCAATATCTAATAACAATGTATAATTATTATGTACATATCAATTAGCTATTTTGTTTAATATTATTTATAGTGGTCTGATAATTTATGAATAATTTTAATGAGTTTAATCAGCTAATTTACATGTTTTAGTTTGTACCCTGACATTTTGTGGATTGTACTACTGCGTAGATATATATTTCGAAATTTTGTGCATAATAATTAGCATTCTAATTAACTGTTTCAGCTTGTTTATTCTATATCATAGGTATAGTTTGCTCAGATAGCTTAAATCTTGAATCCTGTATACTGTACGTTTAGTTGAATGTCTAATCATAGTTTTCAAATAATCTTTAAATATTAATTAGCTATTTGCATATCAATTAACTAATTTCATCATACTTTGTTCATATCGTAACAGTTTGCAAGAATGGATTGGAACTTAGTACAAATTTACCGTTTGTTTAATTTTAACTTTATGACTAAATCGATCAGTGCGTATTAATAACAGATTGTATAATTAATTGTATCATGATTGTATATCTAACAATTTACTGCTTGCTGTTTGTATAGATCAATGTGCAACAGTTTCTAATTAATCTGTGATTTTCATAATCAATTGGTTTTAACATTCTTTTTACATAATTGCAAACAGTTTAGTCAATTAGAAGAAAACTGTTCACATGCTTATTCAATACACGTTTATAACATTTTAAGCATAATAATTATCAAATTTACATACATGTACTATTAAACAGTATGATTAATCTACACAAACAGCACGTATGCAATCAATGAATGATTGGAATAGTCTGCATAGATAATTTGCATATTAATTACATGTTAATGTCAGCTTTTTTCCTGTATCACACCAAGAAAAACATGTTTTATAATTGACCAGGAAACTCTAATTGAGTGTCCTTTCATTAGTATTTTGCTCATAATTTGCTTAATTAACACATTCATTGGTTTAAATATGGTTGAATATTGCATCATGGGATTTTATTTCCTGCGATGGTCATAAATGCTGGTTGATTCAATGTTGTCCCTACCTCTACGACCCCCCCCCCCCACCGTCACACCAGTTATTACTGTAACCACGATATATAAACTATAATTAAGTCAATGTCGAAAAATTGCTAACATTTATTAATTATGTAAATTGTAAAGCCCGACATTCCGTATTTATGTCACCAGCTGCGTACTATTTCAATATACAAGGACCAACACCACAGACAAAGATTAATGGTTCCCGGGCAGCGACTTTACCTGCAGGCCAATCTATTGGCACATTTCACCCAAGTGACAAAGAAGAAGATCGGTTCACTGAGACGTACACCACACATGGTCTACAGGGCTACCAATCTATTGGTTCACACTCTGCACGTGACGATATCGAAGATGACCCAAATACACATCATTACGCTTCACTGGGGAGTTTCAGTGTAGAACAGTTAGTATATACATGTTTATCGCACGATACAGACTTGGAACTTTTTTTGAATATAGTAAAGTTTGTTTCTATCATTTTGTTTATTTATGTTAACAGAAAATCAAGTCAATGTCCACCACACCTAGATGATGGTTATGACATGAAAATGGAGGATGTATGCGCCATGTTATGTGATATCAATCTTTCAAAATACGTAGAAGTTTTCAAAAACGAAATGATCGACGGGAATTTATTGCAGGTCCTGGATGAAGATATCATGGTGTCCGATCTGGGAATGTCGAAATTACACGCACGAAAACTGAGACTACATCTCGCGAGAGAAAAGCAGCGCCCTCGCATGTCCAAAAAAGAGTCAACGTATTTATAAGATGAATATTAAATGTTTGGCTTTGTTGATACAATATGGCATAGTTTGTGCCCGACAGAGACCATATGTCCATCCATCTACACTCGATATGCAGCAACGGGGACCATTTCGACCGGTGGTTTAGACTTGCGCTATTATAGGTCTATGATTTGTATATATACGAGATACGCCAGTTTCGTCGACTTTTAAAACTAATCAAATCCCATGATGTATTGAACATTCATAAATATAGACCTTAGTAATCGAATCTGTCATTTTATCTTAATAAATTGTGTTACATACCTTTTGAAAGGTATAACATAAGTGTTATAACGAGAATATCGAAAATAACCAACACAAATTGCTAAATTTGGCACTTAAAAAAAGCGTAATTCCGGCTGTATTTGCGTTGTAATATTTGCTAATAGTTAATGAAAATTAAATTGTATGTGGCATGCTTTACAAGTATTCGTCATCATCAGCACATGAAACGGTCTTTCAAAACAGACAATTTTTAGTCAACAGTTCACCGGATTTGTTTAGTCTTAACCAATATATGTATATCAGGTTGTTATCAATTCGTAATTACTTTCAAGAACATTGCATGAATTCGACACATGACCATAATTAGGTGGTGATAGAAACGTGCCTCATTCTGCTCGTCAACCTTCGACAATTGCTTCATTCACACGATAAACTCTTCCGCAATTACCAGTCTTGATAGTGCGACACATTGTTTCGACTGTTGGTGTATTTCTCTAAACTGCATGTAAACATTTGTGTGCTGCCGTTAGTAACGCGGCAACACTTGAATCAATCTGCAGAGTGTAATATCAAAAATGGTATTCACAATGCCGAGTGTGATTGCTACAAACAACTATTCATAGGTTGTAAACCGACATTGTCTTTGCTACATGTACCCCATATTTTGTAAAACCGCTATAGAATTATGAACAACTTGCACTTTAGCCAAGGCAAAGCCGTGCAGCTTTAGCCATGATGCAGCGTATAGAGTTGACGTATAGAGTTCGAAACCACAGCAAGCAGAAGTAGAGCCTTTAACAACAGTTATACTACTTTTTGTCTCGTCCTTTCGTTAGCGGACAGTTTCAACCTAATTAATTATGCATTCTTGTTAACGGTACTGTTTTATCAATAGATTAACAAGCCGGGACTGTAAATAATGAATGGGTTAATTTAAATATTCATGAGCACAACAGGAATGAAAAGCTGATTAACATAACAGGTGGCCACTGAATGAAAACAAAGAACAAGGTGGAATTTTCATTTAATTATTTAAATACGCAATGACGATTATACGATACATTTTAAAAACGTATTTCAAGTTTCATATTTCCTTTTACAAAATTCACGGACACTTTGGAAGAATCGGTTATGACAGTGGTATTAGATTTGTCCTCGTCTGTTGGGGTGGTGGATATGTCATGCGTTTTCGCTTCTTTCTCAGTTTTCGGTTTGGGTGGCTGCAATGCGTCTGACACCGCTTTCGTCTGCTCGTCGCTCGTAGCTTCTAATTGCTAGACTGGAGTGACCCGTTCTTTCTGCTATTAGCTGCTCGTCGAAATTTTGCCGGAACAGCGTGGTTGCCTGTGTAACCTGTTTAAAATAAAATACAATGTATCAATATGAAAGTACAATAGCTTGTAACATTCCACC